ATTTGTAGGGCTGAAACTATTTATAGTTTTAGCCAGAAGAGAATAAATTTAACTTAGCAAACAGTTGTTCTTACTCAGAATGGTTTTTGATTCTAAACCTCGCAAATACCCAAATACGCTAGATCTATTGAGACAAGGAGATAGAAAAAATTTAGGATTGGTATTAGACTTAGAAGTTGCACGAATCCAGCCGGCCGAACACAAGATAGCGTGACGAACAGACGGTGTACCTTATCTGAAATTACTCTATGAGAAAGCCACCTCGGACTTCAACTCTACTTTTCTTGATTTAATGACAAGACGACTTTTATTCATTTAATTCTTAGAGAAAGGTATGCCTGGGGTCTCATTGTAGGTTTCCCGTCTTTTTTTCTCCACGAAGATATTCAAGAACATAACATTCAAATACTTTCACAACAAAGTTTACTTCTAAAACTTGAAATAAAAGTAAAACTAAACAATTTAGTGCACCACCCATTACCATTGCCACAACCCCAGATATTACAGTTTTATCAATAACCTTTCTACTTATATGCACAAAAATAATTTCTATATACGATAGATACAAAAAAGACAATAGGCTTTATAACTTTCCACAATTCCTCTTCAGAACTATCATATACATGTATACTTTAACTATTCTATCAATAAATTCCCTCTTACCTTTTAGTACACCTTGAACCAACGAGCTATAAAAAATTTTCACCCCGATGCAGACCACAATATCTTCTTGACACTCATTATGACTGTGAAGATCACCAACACAAAATATTGTACAAAAATGCAATTAACTAGGTCACACAATGTAAATCTGAACGAAAATAAATTGAATCAACAAATATAATCTCAACACTACTCATGAGCCTGCGCTCCAACTCTAACAGGTTATAAATTCAGAGGAAAATTCTCTGAGAAGAAAGTATATTGTTCCCAAGTTGCAAACGGAAACATAATTAGACTCGATCATGAATCCTTCTATTAGTAATATCAAAAAATTAGTACACCTTGATCCTGAAGACTGTAAAAATGATTTAAAACGTCTAAAAATTGTCACTAGCAAAACGATCGAAAACTAGTTAAGTTATACATTTTTTTAGACTCCGCACACCAAGCTCATCTTGAACAACACCATGGTCATAATCAACTAGATGAAAAATTCCCTTTTCATGGTGCTCACAAACGCTTAACTTGAAAAAATCCACGATAAAAACTGGATATCTCATTTTGGAATAAATAATCCCTCAAACTGCTAAGCTGACACGAAAAATTCAGGGTATCATGAAATTACAATTTTCGATTGGAAAATCCAACTAAAAAGTACACTTAACAAGTGGTTTAGATGATGACACTATAATATATCAAGGAATCCGATTAGCTTGTGAAATTATCAAAGATATGCGGATTCCACGACGCGAACACAGAAAACCATAGTTTGGTTTTCTGAAGACACATGTACCACGTTCCAAGGTACTAAAACTAAGGCAAGAATGACAACATTTGACAAAAAAAATTACATCGAATCCATACCTTTTGGTAAACTACATCCAGATCAAAAAAGATCAAATCAAAATCAATATGAAAAAATACAAGGAATAGAATAAAACTAACACGTCTTCAATTTTACCCTGAAACCGAATTGGCATAGAAACACCCAAAACACAATATTCAGCAATACTTGTTGAAAACGCAAAAGGTTTTGACATGAAAACAGTATAACTAATAATTTTTATTGCCGACCCAAATCAAAAAAGTAAAGACGAAAAAACCTACATCCCGGTAACGTTTTATAAAAACAATGGAAACATTGGAGGAAAGGTTCTCCCAGAAAATCGTGATAGTAATCGACTCCAAGAATTTTCACTAGAGAATAACATATTTTGGCGCAATTCACTATAACATTCAACTTGGTATGAAACTTGACTACACAGTTAGAAAAACTTTTCAAGAAATGTCACTTTCAAAACTCGAAACACTGCATCATTTATGTGAATTAGAACATAAATAAAATTTACAATCTCTCGCATTAGCCATACCAAAACAATCCTATGCAGGATACCTCCTATCAGGTAACCGCTCTTATTTCAATGATTATGAAGGAGCCTTCTATTGTATTACATTTGCACTAAAAAAGTCTCACCTTTCTATATATTTGAACACAAAAGATGCTACCAAGTTCAAAAAATTATCTACTATGCCATACCTTATCTACTATACCATACTTAATGCTACTTTTAAAGAAATTTTTATCGGAAAGAATCTGCGCAAAAGTTCGCAACCCTAATATACATTTACAGTCTATAGATTTACAACAAAAATTTCACGATCTTCTCACTAAAATGGATACGATCCAAAGACAATCAAGAGACCAAAATCTCAGAAACTCGCTGACACAGCTGGTTTTTCAGACATCTCCAACGCCACGACTCCCTTATCTCAATCTCTCGCCTCAATGCCTCCCCTACCCAGTTTTTCATCTAGCTCACTACACATGGATTCTGATGACTCAACTCAAGCCGTTATTAAAACTAACTCTCATTTCAATAACTCCGAAGTAGACACACCCGATGTGTTTTTGGATTTCGAACCAAGACCCACTAATTTTCCCAGCCACCTTTTCATATCATAACTCCCCATAACCCTGCCGAAAACTCTACCTCCACTTCCCCACTACCCTTAATCTTTTCTTCTTTCCAGTAATGCACCAGACGTATCCAGACCCATTACTGATGATCAGCTTGAGCATGACTGAGACAACTTAATTACTAGTCAGCAACAAATTCATAACACTAATACCTCACTTGGTATTAACCAGCTGACCAGCTGCGCCTCCACTTCCGAATCATTCCTACCATCTGTCCACCCTGCTCCCAACGGTGCACAACTTAATCTTATGGAACGCAAATGTTCAAATAACCCTCCACAATTTCTTACAAGTCGCCCAAAACCATCTAGACTCGTTCGAAATCATCATCCACGTCATACTATTACACCGTCAATTTTAGTTGAAACTTTTCTCTTCTTCTCCCAGTACACTTACTACAATGCAGAAAACCAAGCCCAACACTCCAATAAATTGACGAATATAACCTCCGACCAATCCTTTCCTGGATTTCAAATTATAATTTTACTAACCAATAAGTGCCATTAAGAAAAGACGCTGACGTAAACGAATTATGTGATAGAATAATAATTGAACTAACCAATGCACTACGCTTGAATTAGTTCACTGACATATGATTAAACCAAACACTCAACCGTTTCATTGCACAAAAAGCTAGCCGATATTTCATCAATCACTATGATCACACAGTCATCTGATATATGGAATACTCACCGTAAGATACTGACCCTGCAGTGAATTCACAACTAACCTCAACAGTACTGGCAAGAAAATTGATCCTGACATTGATCATGCACTAATGAGCACAAAAGCTAATAAGCCATATTTTAGTAAGTTTGACCACTATGCACTGACATTCAACTTTTTACGACCAAAAGAACAAGATAATAAATTTTCATTTAACCCGGTTGGAAGGAATTATAAAATTACTTAGACTCACCAACGCAGCTTACTGAGCCCACTGATCCCATTGAAGTCCATGAGCCCACCATGTGCTAAGATACCGAACCTCAAGTAATACTAAGAGTATCTCTATTGTGAGCAACTCTTTAAAACAATAGAAAACTAAGAAAACGCTTTTGCGAAAACAATTAACAACAAGCATAACTAAAATTGATATTATTATTATGGTACAGATATAACTATATAATGTAATGAAGAACTTTAAAAGCAAAAAGAACGAGCAGAAAAAGGAACGAGCAGCAAAAAAAAGATGAAACTCGATGACATTCTGACTCTGGAATGGCAAATTGATTGGTTTGTTGCCGTACTCACACTAACAGTATTTTAGGCATGGAGCCAATATCGAAGCAAAGGTATCAATTGAACAAGATCAATGGCCGACTCGACATTGAGCTCAAACGTACGAATCCTAGTCACTTGGCACTTCACACAATTAACTCAAACCCTATCTTACTATTTTATGTATAGATAAAAATACACGTTCTCTCCTTTAACTTAACGAAATCAACACATCACTATATAATTCTGCAACCTAGACCCAACCCCTCAACTCAATCACGATACGCCAGACCTACTTCAACACAAGCAACTGTACTCATTCTCTCTCTGTGAAGACGAATGCGCCATAAAACGAGCAATTGTTTCTATTCTCTCTTCACTGCTTCAAAATAACTCTCCATCCATCCTTCTGAAGAATGAAACTTAGAACTTTTAAAACTTTCTAAGCCCTGGATGGGTGGAACCAGTCCAAAACAAGTGTTTTTTGTATCCTATGATGTTCTTGATAACTATCTCTGTAAAATACTTGGAACTAACCATGCATTATCCATTAAACTTACAATAATTTGTAGGGCTGAAACTACTTATAGTTTTAGCCAGAAGAGAATAAATTTAACTTAGCAAACAGTTGTTCTTACTCAGAATGGTTTTTGATTCTAAACCTCGCAAATAACCAAATGCGCTAGATCTATTGAGACAAGGAGATAGAATAAATTTAGGATTGGTATTAGACTTAGAAGTTGCACGAATCCAGCCGGCCGAACACAAGATAGCGTGACGAACAGACGGTGTACCTTATCTGAGATTACTCTATGAGAAAACCACCTCGGACTTCAACTCTACTTTTCTTGATTTAATGACAAGACGACTTTTATTCATTTAATTCTTAGAGAAAGGTATGCCTGGGGTCTCATTGTAGGTTTCCCGTCTTTTTTTCTTCAGTTTTTGTCCTCGTAGAGTTTTCTAGGAGTTGCCCTTGTATCGTCTTTTTAAGTTTGTTTAGAGTAATTTTGAATGGATGGCAAGGGCTTAGATCAGGGTGGATAAATTATCAAGCAATGACCAAACAGGAGCTCGTAATAGTTTCATTGAATCACGTTCAGCCATAGTTAGGATTCCTATAAAAAGTAATTTTCAGCCGCGTGGAAAGGTGCGGACTTCATGTTGAAAGGGACAAATGCAAAAGGCGTCGAAGATAAAGCGACGCAGATCATTGATGTTTTGAGAGGCTTTCCTGAAAACGAATGGATATTATTGGTTTACACAAAAATGACGCATCTGAGTGTACAGCTCAGCAATTCAGGCGAATTGATGTCTAGGGTTGGAAAACATGGGTATATGTTCAATATGCAACTATTTGCTCAGCCAAAGTCTGACAAGAAAGAGCTCAAATCGATCAACTCAATTGATGCAAAAGCAGCTGCAGAGCAAATGAAAGTAGCTCTTTTTCAGATGGAAAAGAAGGCAAAGACGCAAACTGTTTCGACGGACGATGTTAAGGATGAACTCGTTTTTGGTTTGCAGTCAAAAAGAATTAAGTGGGCTTATATGGCAGTGATCGGAAAAGGTGAAGCAAAAATGGAGTCAGTATACGATGAAAACCGACGAGTATACGAAAATTCAAATCTATTCACCGTTCACCTATTTCTCTAATCTTTTGAGACAAACTGATTCCTAGATTAGCTTGACATGTTGGATATGTTAACTGCCATGATTTACTGCTGATGACAATGAATTTGATACTTCTTTAGACCCCCATTTGCAAAACTAAGATTCCTCAATTCAGCAATCCAACTTTTTATGCACAAAATTATGGATATATTTACTATCAAATCGATTACAATCAATTGCATTTTATACTTATGTTGTCTGATTCGATAGTCACCACAAAATATATACACCAGGAACACTTATTTTCTATAAATTTTTTAATTAAAACATTGCGAAAGAAAAAAAATTTTGTTACGTGCCTTGTTTTGTTGAAAATGAACAAAAGTGATTAAAAAAAACAACCGTCAAACTAAGACCCAAATTGACATTTTTTTCCTGCAAAAAGCAGATTATGACCGAATTCTAGTTGTATTACCAAATTTTGTTCGTGTGTGTCTGGTGGAGGAATAAAAAAAACTTGAAAAAATTTTCTTTCCGAAGATGGGAAATCTAATTATGTACCTAATTTTTAGTTTTCACATTTTCTCGAGTCGAAAAAGACCCCCTGAGACGATTTCTTGATTTTAAATTGCAGTAAAAACATTGTGGTCTCGTTCAGCCTGGATTATGAATCATGTTTTTCGGCCACAGCTAAGAATCTTTACAAAGTTGCATAATTTGATCCCCACAGTTCAGTAGAACTGAAATCTGCGGACTTTAATTATTCTTTTGTCGTTTTTTGGTATGTTTAACAACGATAGCTGAATGAGGCTATAAGAAATTAGTATTTCAGCTTGATTGCATTGCGAGAGATTTGTCAAAGAAATCACTACGGATAATATCATCACGAAGATTGAATACGACAAACAATGTCACAAAGAGTTGACTTTAAAATCCGTTCGCAAAAATCCGAAAACTTGACATTCCTATTTCTGTTTGGGCAAAGTAGGCAAATGTCTTAAATATATATTTCATGAAGTTATAGCAAGGGCGGGACCCTTTGTAAAGTTTGGCAAGCAGAATTGAAGTGGAAGGGCGCGGTTTTTTTTAACTGAAATTTTAAAGAGCATATGTTCCCGATGAATTCTTTAGGAAACTTTTTTTCTAACAATGGAAACTTTTCTTTAAGAAGCTATATAAAGTGGCAGCGAAGATAAACTGTTGCTTTAAAAATCCTACCACTGAAAATCACGTGTGTTATCGCTTTCAGTTAGACTTGCTTTTTTCCCTTCCTACTTGGCATTGAGGTAAGGCAGTTAATTTTGCACTTTAAGCTCTGGGGGCCGAGCCGCGACAGGACTTTGTTTTTTCAGTATGTAAAAAATGAATTTTATTTCCCGTAAAAACTGAATTGTCGGGCTTTTGTTTGTCTGCTCAAGTTGTGTCGGCTTCAGTCTCACCTCACGGATTTTTCTTGCTCTGTACGCAATGATTACAGCTGCTGTAAGTAATTTTTTTTTCTAGCTTCAGGGGGACTTGAAACTTTGAAGATAAAAAATAATTCAGCTCAACTAGCGTCTGCTCAACCATTGTGGGCTTTGTTTCAACTTCACATTTTATATTTGCATGTAATAGTGTATGCATGTCTGTATGCACGTATATGCATGCAAGTATGTATGATTGTATGTTTGCATGAGAGTTTCTATGTTTGTATGTAGGCATGTTTGCATGATTCTATGTATGCTTGTATGTAGGTTTACATGCGTAGATAGTAAATGTAACCATACCTGCTTTCAAACCTACCCGCACGCATGCATACAACCATAAATTCGGAGTGCAGCCAGTATTTAGACAGCCGCGTATTCATACTCGTCAGTATTTAGACAAATACTGTATGAACCAATCAGAATCGAGAAAAGACATAAATAATCCAAAATAAATAATAATTATTTATTAATTTCTTCTTTGTCTCGATTCTAATTGTTGAAACAGTATTTGTCTAAATACTGACCAGTCTGAATACGCGGTTGTCTAAATACTGACATGTAACCCATAAATTCAAACAGACAAGCATACATTAAATCATGGAAACTCACTTGTACGCACGCATGTATGCAGCTGAAACAGTTTTCGAAGCAATGGGATGCTATTATTACTTTTATTCCTGTCAAGAAGGTTGTGCCTCTTTAACAGATCAAGATATTGAGAGAGGGAACAAAAAACAGAGATGAATGACATCAGACGTGAGAACAGTACAGAGAAAAATACAAAGTTAAAGAAACGTGGGAGTGTGAGTGCTGGGAAAATTTGGAAAACCTTAGAAAAACTTAGGAGATTGTTTAGGACTCAGCACAAAAATTCAAAGCCAAACTCAACAGATTTATTAACTTTCACAAAAGGAGAAAATGCTGGTCACACAGTAGAAGAAATATCAGACAATTTCCTGGACGTGAAATTGAATGACTAGCGATTTATATCAACTCGGGTAAGACGCAGCCCTGAATTTTTGACACATGGTTAATGCTACGAATTAACTTCATTGCGTGATTCGATCTATTAACTTGCGTACCATTAGCCATTTGTCAAAAATTCACCCCTGTATTCTAATGAGTTAGAGAAAACGAAATTCATTCACTCGTTTAGTGCTAAGTACCATTTGAGAGAATGTTACAGATGCAAGAATGCCTCTAAAGATTCTTTAAAAAATTCAAAGGAAGTTTTAGAAAAAACTGAAGGATGTCGAAACGATGTTGCTTTCACTGTAGCAAACCTGAATGTTGAAAAACGTGGAAACAGGAAAAAAACGTAGAAGTATAAATTAATTTTACATAAATAAATCAAGATCTCAGAACTATATATTTAAGAAGCAGATCACCATAAACTCATGGAGCAACGAGTTCATCCTCGAAATAAGCTCAGTTCGAGAAAGAGATCTCAATGAAGAATTTTTAAAAGCAGTTTTCATTTGAATTGATGACGATTCAATGATGGAACGTGATCGGTGAAGTTGATTCTAATCTATAGTATACATTACACATTACACTCGCTACCACCATCTCTTAAACAGTTTCTCGAATCCAAAAAATTCTCGAATCCCTTTTCAGCAACCGTCCAGAACTCGTTTACAATCGCAGTATGAGTTAAGCTCTGCGAAACTAGAATAGAGCACGAACATTAAATATTTGCTGGTTCAGGAAACATTTTCAACCTTCTCTTCTGCTTGTTCATCTTCAATTATTTTTTCTTCATAGTTTGAATCTATTTCAGCTGTTTCCTGATTTGATTTTCCTTCTTTCGGGCCGTCGGGTTCTGATGTACTTTGTGGTTCTGTTTCCCCGATTATTACATCACTTGGGTCTGGGGCCCTCGGCAGAAACTCTTCGTTTGGAAAAATTTTCGAAAAGATTCCTCTCGCCTGAAAAATATACTGGTAAATAGGGAACTATGCAAGCACTCCATTTTCTGAAAAATTCACTCAAACACCGTTTTCTTTAAGTATCCATGCATTTGCTGAAAAACAGCTTCAAGTATACCAATTCAATCATAACCATAGAATTATTCCAATACATCAGAGACAGAAAAAAAATGAAGTTACTAATTTCCAGCAGTTCCAACTGTTTCAAGTTGTCAGCGGAAAAAGTAAGACAAATGATTGTCTCACCTGTTCGACACTTTGATCGAAGCCCAGCTCACTGTCAGGTCCACTAGTAACGTGAACATTTTGCAGAGGCGACTCATCGGACGAGGTTTCAACGAACAGGTAGCGGAAGTAAAGCGAAGTTATGTAAGCAACTCGCGAATCTTCTTCTAAAAAGGATAGAGCATAAAGATAAGAAGCATAAACTTCAATATTTCTATTTTCAATTATAAACATAGCAAGAAGTTTACTACACACAAACAAACCCAATTATAGAAAACAGTCAGTTAATAGTTTTTTTGAATCAACTTTTATTTTTTTTTCTGAAAAAAAAGACAAAGTGAGTTCAGTTCGTTCATTTAACTTAAACAAGACTGCTCGTATCAGGGCGCAGCCCTGAACGTTCCGACTGCCTTTTAAGGTTTATGGAGCAGTAATAACATAGAAAAATTAAATTTAATAAAATAAAATGAATTTTTTAATTTGAATTTTTTTAATGAAAATCATCTCCCCACACGACACGCCATATAAAGTACAAAAGGGATAGATTTCGCTCGTTGCAACAAATCAATTATGGCATATAGGCTTCTTTCAACCAATTTGGAACGAGTTCTAAGACGGATTATATCTCCTCTCACGCATTAATAGCGCGAAATTTATCGCGCGCTAATTGTCCAAAATTGGCCTAAATGGCAATCTTTAAACCCCCATAACTTTACAAAAAATGATCACAAGAGTAATATCTTTTCAAATTTAAGTTCAGGACAACAATACTTTTTGAATGATAAAAAATTCCGTCAAAAAAGGCTATTTACACTAAAGTTACTCCCAAATACAAAGTTACTTCTAACTTCGGAAGCATTGCTTTGTTTTGCACTAGAAGGTGAAACAAAGCTCTCAATTAAAGAACATCGCCAATCGAAGATCAGAAAAGAGTAATGAAAGCAAGTAAACATAAAAAAAAACAGATTTTCTTGAAAAATCTCAATTTTCGAATTTCAAAGAAAAGAAAAGATGTTTTTGAAGTTCTGTGAATTTCAAGAACAATTTATGATTGGCGCTTTTTTAATAACATGAACCCAACTAGAGAAAACTGGATCAATAGGTAAAGTTTTTTTTCCGCTGGGAAATCTTAAAAATAAATTCCACTTTCGAAACTAGAAATCGTTCACGTTTTTTGCGCCATTTCCACGTTCGTATTTGGAGAGTTATATTTACGTCATTTTCAGCAGATGAATTTCAATTTTACGCAAAAAGTGCATTATACCTAAGTGAATCAATATCCTAAGACTTTTTCCTAAAAAAATCAGCAAGACCTATATGAGCCTTCACTACGTTCATTACTCTTAATCAATATGACCAATATGGCAGTTAAAATTAAATCAGTATAAACAATAACAAAATCAACAGTACCTGTAGAAGAGAGTGGCTTGATAAGTTGGTTCAGATATAAATCGATTTGTTCCTTCGAACAGAGAGAACTGTCTTCATCTTCAGTAATTGCTTGCAGGAGATCTGAAACATGCCATCACAGTCATCAAATCATTAAAATTAACATTTTTAAAATAATCAAGATCGTGGAGATCATGTCCGATAAGTAAAAAACCGAAAATTGTCAATCAAGGGTCGCTTGCACCGCTGCGCTCAAATCACTACTCCTCACAATTCTGTTTAGGAATTAAGCGATGTTATATAAAACTTTAAACTGTATTATTTTTCTGTAGTTTAAACTGCGAATTGAGGAAAATCGCAGTTCCTTTATGGCTAATATTGAAGTATGAGCTCATTATTGTTGACCTAATAGCTTGTCACCAGGCAGTCGCAATTAGCGAACCTTATGATTATAGAGACGAACGAGAATTTGAAAGCAACTCACAGAACTTCTCATGTGTTGAGCATGCCTGTGCTGTTTCTTCTATCAGCCTCAGTGGATGTCTCCTTCCTTCCGGTGGTGGAATGCTGACCAAAACTACCTGCATTATTCAAAATACTAACACTATATTAAACCAGTGAAATTGTTATCATCAATACTATGATAATTGTCTTTTTCGTAAAGTTTCACCAACCGCAGATTCTTTCGAGGAGTCTAGACGTCTGCTGGTGATGAAAACTCCACGTACATATGATCTGAACAGCATTATAGATTGATTAATTCAGTTGTCTATGGCAGTAGGTGACGTAGCGATTAGCATGTGTGCTTATTAGTATGCGGTAATTGCTTTGACCGGGTGTGCTTTCAGAGGAAAAACAAATTAGCTTTAATTTTCAATTTATTTCGAAAACCACTTGATTTTAGGGGAGTTAAAGTTTCCCGTTCGCCTAATTAAAACTTCGGCTAAGTGCACACTGTTCAAAACAGCGAATTGAGTAAACAAAAGATGAAATCGCAAACTTTCAAACTACATTCTTTTACATGGACATGCTGCTTGTTGACACACATGGCAATAGGCCCGTCCCCGTCGCAATTATCTGCGGACCAATCACATTACAATCGCAGATTATACATAGACAACGGAACAGACAAATGAACAAAGCCAATGAACGAACGCAAAGAAACAAAAAAATACAGTTGACTTGTTTTTGAAAAGAAACATCAACTTTCGAATTTCAAACAAAAAATATATGCCCTTAAAACTCTTTGAATTTGATGAGCAATTTTTAAAAAAATGGCACGTTTCTGATAAAATTTAACCCACTTTGAGAAGAATGGATTATTAGGAAAAGTTTTTAGTCCGCTGGGAAATCTCAAACATAAATTCCACTTTCGAAGCGAGAAATCGATCACATTTTTTTCGCGCCATTTCAACTTTGGAAATTGGAGGGTGCATTTTGCCTACCTTCTAGCAAATGAACTTGAATTGAACTCAAAATGTGCATCTATACCTAAGTGCATTCATATGTGCATTTTTAAGTATGAATACAATTCTTTTGTTATTAGAGCATTTTAAGGCTTTTCCTGAAAAAAAAAAAACATATCATAACGACCTTTATTAGACTCAGAAATACGTTCATTGACTCTTTAAATACGACTCTGTAAAAAGCACTCAAACTCTTTATTGCAAAACATCATCTTAAATGATTTTTTTAAGAAAAGCCAGAGTTTCAAAACTGCAAATGAGGTAACAAAAACACTCAGGCTTCTTGAATGGCCTGAATTTATTTATGATTGACAATCTTTGGATAAAAATAACCCAAGTTGAGAAAACTGAATCAATATAATCTTTTTTTTTTGAAAATTAAAGTCCATTTTTGAAACTTAGAAGTGATTCACGTTTTTTCGTGCCATTTGAACGTTTGTTATTGGATAGTGTAAGGCCAAGCTGCACTTCGTCAGCACAAGCGAGAAAAATCATGAACACGAAAAAAATTGGCTTTCAAAAAAAAACTTTTGATGACATCGGACCACAGACTTGGAGATTACGAGTAGTACATCCTCCTGACACCTCCATGTGCTTCATACTGGCCTAATTTGTGACAAGTGGAGCAAAAAAGTTTTTTTACACTGAGGCGAAGCGTAGTGTAAAAAAAGCGTAGTGTAGAAAAAAATATCTGAAAAATGAAGTTGAAAAATTTTAATGAAATTTCTAAAAAAAATTACTTGAAAAAAACTTGAAAAAAATACAGCTGCAAAAAAAAGAATTGAAAATCAATTACCAAGCGCCAACAAATTTTTGGTGAAAATCTGTTTGAGCCGAAAACAAAACTGTTGTCACAAAAAGTTTCATTAAGTTTTTGTAAAATTTTGGACCATCCAATCTGAAACGCATAATCGCATGCGAATATGTTTGCCCTCGAAATTATGCAATAAAAGTTGACTGACCGATACAACATAAATTGAAACTGTATAAATATTGAGAAAAAAACTGACAAAAGAAACTAAAAATTGAAAAAAAAACCCAATATCAGACTTGGTAAATTACTGAACTTTCAGTTGTAGTAAAAAACTGTTTAAATTGACACAAAGCACATGCTCTAGAAAGTAAGCCAATAAAAACCATATAAGACGAAAAAAATAGCGTTTCAAAAAATGGTAATGAACCGACAGAAACTAGGACGAAAACCACGAACCCGAAAAAAATTGAATTTTTTGAAAAAAAGTACAACCTGAAACGGGCTTTACCTAATTACTGCTTCAACTATAGTGGTTTTAATTGCATTACCAAGAAATTGAGCATGAAGAAATTGAGCATGTCAGAAGATGGAGTCCAAGAGATACGAAATGAGTGCTGTGAACAAAGTTGTTTAAGGGAAAAAAGTCTAGTACCCGATTGCAATACCGTTGCTTATCGCACGGGTAACTAAAACACAACTGATAAATGTAAATCCATTTACAGCTTTTGAAGATCCACTTTTAAAATTAACTTGATGCTCAATTTGATGCTATCTTTTCAAAATTGACCTAATTTGTTGCATACATAAATTTCTCTATAATCAAACGAATCGCGCCAAACAAACATCACGCGATTTAATTTGGCCGAACTCTAAGCAACTTTTTTCCTCTCGTTATCTGGTTTATAAAATCCATCAAATTTGATGTATATGCGTTTGAATTTCAGGTTGATTTCATCTTCTCCGGATATTGTACATCAGCACTGGTCTTTTACTACGCGACTGAAATAAGTCAAAATTCAGTTCGTTCATTATTTTAAACATCCGAAACTACTAACCTTCTAGACTTGACAAAAGTTGGCAACAAAGATTTGGGAAGATAACTGGACTCTGACACCAGGTGTTCACAAGTGATGACCTTTCCTGATGCAGTCACCACAGCACACGCTCTGGACTGCTGATGATTCGAATTAACCTTCTCAGCTATTTCAGTTTCTTTTGTGACTTTGGATGCATTTGCTGTTATGAGTTTAGCAGGCGCTTCTTCCGAACCGAGGATGAAGACTCCTCCGAAAATTGCATTCATTCTGGATAGAAAGGTTTAAATAAATCAAAAAACATGCCAATCAAAAGTTTGATATCAATTATTTGATTCTAATTGATGTATTACATACACGCGCAGTTCAGCTCTAGTAGGCGAATATATTTGACAATTTTCTACAGGATAATATCATTTCATCACTCCTCGTGAAATGGATTCTTGTCCTGAACACCACGGTGCCATGGAAGTAGCTGCATTAGAGCTGTATTTTTCGACGGTTCAGGCATAACTTATATTTAGATATAACTGCAGGACTAGAGCTTCTGTGACTTGGTTTGACCTGATGCACTTCAATTTAAATCAAGCGCTTATTGATATGATTGAAATTTTTCAGCGTATGTTCATTCTCGTTTTAGCTGATTTTATATAGAGGTACAGTGGAATTTATCAGTTTTGTCAACAATATTGGTGTCTTTAACTCTCAAATCAGTGTTTCGGTCGCATGTTTTTAGACCACCTATAAATACGTGTTTCATTTCTTGCTTCAAAACATGTTTTTGCCTTGTTTTAGAGCAGTCTCTACCCTTAAGTGAAAACCTACAAAAAAAATTCTCTCCACAATGAGTTTTGTGTCCTACAAAATTACAGACTAAAAAAAAACAATCTTCTCACCTGGCAAAGCACTGAGGAAGTTCTCCCACTCCGTACATGGCAAAGAGATAAGGAGAGTTCGAGTAGACTCCAAGAGATTCGCAGAACACACGTAGTCTGCTTAAACACTAGAACAGAACAAGTTGCCACCAGTTTTTTTTTCAAACATAAAATGTTATCAGCAGCTAAGCTGAGAAACTTAATGCCTAGTTGTTCCGACTTTCGATACGAAAGTAACGGAATATTTTTGCTCGGGGTGGGTTTTTTTTCTTCAGACAAATTTCGACTTTTTAACTAGCCTTTTTTGACGGAATTTTTTTATATCATTCAAAAGGTATTGTTGTCCTGAGCTTAAATTTGAAAAGATATTTCACCTGTGATCATTTTTCGTAAAGTTATGAGGGTTTAAAGATAACCATTTTGGCTAATTTGGGACAATTAACGCGCGTTATATTTCGTGCTATTTTAACGCGTAAGCGGAGATTTAATCCGTCTTAGAAATCGTGCCAAATTGGTTGAAATAAGCTTATTTGCCATAATTGATTTGTTACAAGGAGCGAAATCTATTCTTTTGTAGTTTATAGGGCGTGTGGGGGGATGATTTTCATGGAAAAAGTTTCAATTTTTGGATTTTTTTTTCATTTTTTTACGTTCAATTTATTAATGATATTTATGTTATTACTGCTCCATAAACCTTAAAAGGCAGTCGGAACATTCAGGGCTTCGCCCTGATACGAGCAGTCTTGTTTCATTTGTACCCGAATGATATCAGCAGTTTGTATTTTCCTAGTAAAAAAATTCTCTTAAAGAAATCATTTTAAGGATGACATCAATCACAATGAAGCGCTTTCAGTCGTGATTTGAACGACATTTAAACACTAACAAAAAGTTCTCCCAGCAAAAATTCGTTGTAAAATTTGTCAAAATTAGACAAAAAGCTTTCATTAAGCAATGGAAAACTTATTTTTACTCCGGAAAAATCAGTATCGAAAGCTTCTTTAGCGCTTCTTTGGCAATGAAAAATTTATGAAAATTTAAAAAAAAAGTTTTTCAGCAAACAAAGTTATTCTGCAGAAGGCAAAAACGCTTTCTGAAATTTCTGTTTCAATTTTTTATTATATTCATTTATCAAAGATAATTGTTGTCGATTCTGTCCAATTCACTAACGTTTCAGGCGTTCGTATCACACCACGCACGAAAACCAGATTCGAGGAAAATTCCATGCATCCAAAAACGAACCAACAAAAAATAAGAAAACGATAGACCATTAGAATTTTCGAAAAAAGTTTAAATTCGGCTCCTGGCCGGATTCGAACCCATAGCCTTATGCGTTCTAAGCATGTGTGTTACCATTGCATCGAACGATCAAAAATATTGTCTACAAGTTGAAATACCCTATATAATCGCAAGAATAAGCTTTATATCAAATCATCGCCGTCTCCATTAAAATAGCCAATATCGGATTTACATTTTCAGTAGATGCGTCCTTGGCCTGGTAGAGAACATGCATTACTATAATGTGCGCTAGTCTCTCGCTGACTGCATGAACTGTCTGCAGATAAGTCACGAAGGGCACTGAGTTCTCTTCTGAAACCAAAATTGTCTATTCAATTAAGTCTATGCAAAAGATTCACGAATGTTGTTGATTCAAACTTTATGTCTAAGTAAAAAAAAATGACATGTTAATACTTTGGTTATGCTAGGACTTTCAGAACAAATAGTTGGTTAAGTTTTTGAACACATATAAAAATAATGTACAAAATTATTTTATACAAAAATTATATAAAAAACTCATTCTACCTTGAGAAAGTGAAACAGTTTCTTCATTCATGCAGAACTCCAGAACTCTCATCATCTGTCGCTTCTCCACCAGTGAGATCAAACTGTTCTTGAACACATCCGAGCGAGAAGAGGGCACCTGAAGAATAACAGCTATGCAAATAGGGCTAAAATTTTGACAGAGAATTTCCAGGAAGGCAAATAACCAAAAACAACTGATTTATGGGCTTACACTCAAAATTTTAAATAGGACACTTTTGTCATTTTGTACTTGAACCATAACTGATTCTGTCAAGGCAGATGCGTTTATGCCAGAAACATTGTATACAACAGCAAAAGAGATCAATTGCTACTCTTAAGTTATTCGAGAGATCGTTATTTCAGCCGACCCCCTACCCTGTTTTTAACTTAGCAAACCACTTAATAAAATTGATCCATACTTCTATCTTCATGTTATAAACCAATTCTTTAAAATAGACAAGTAATATAGACAAGTTCTGTCGTAAATAGTTGAAAACTAGCGCACCTTTTCTCACCTTCTGAAACTTGGAGTGGTAGAGGAAGTTGAGATCGTGAAGTGCGAGGAACTCGCAGTATCTACTGGTGGCAGAATCAACCAACAGTTGCACCAGTTGGCCCCTCGCTATCAAAATCTGAACAGCAAAAAGCAAGTTTACTATTTTGCACGTTTTTTTATTATCAGAGTGCTAATCACCTTAGATTCTTCGGGATACCAAGATTATCTTTTGACTCTTTCTCAGGCGTAAGCAATTAATTTAAAATTGTGAGTTATAAGTCAAATATCCATGTGACTATGACTGAACACGAGACAGTCTATTAATACAATCTTCTGAAACACTGTAACCATTCTTTATAATGAAATTCACCTGAACGAGAGCCCGATCTACTTGAAAATTACTCACCCTTTCAAGAAATTGTTAAGCAATTTTCGACCACTCAGAATGCAGCAATGTTCGAAATATAAATAGAACGCTTTAGTGTGAATTTACTGCTTTTTTAAAGGGGTGGAAAATTTTTAGTAGATACCGAGTGCATCTAACCTTAGAACAGAGACTGATATTGAATCTGTTTCCATATTTATCTAAGTCATCCAAGAGTTCTTCTTTCTGCTCTCTAGTCAAACTAAACACTTCAGAATTGGTGACGCTGTCACTGCTTGTGGCATTGGGTTCTAAATCTTGGTCTATGTTCTCCTGATTATCATCACTCTGTATGTCTTTTCGATTTTCCCTGGAAAACAATGGTTGAATGTTTAAGGAGCTTGACGTCAAATGACCAAGCAAAAGCAGTATCTTGTTCCTCAGTTCATAGTTGAATTGATCTGTATGCACTAGGGGACGAATTAGGAGAGAATTTTATCAGCAAATCAGGATTTCGACCCCTCCCCTCACCGTCCAAAGGGTCTCGTTAGCTAATACTTAACGAACCCCATTTTTGCGGGGCCAAACCTGTTTTTTTAAGGGACAGAGCGGGACAATAAAATCCAATTGATTCCAAATGAAAACATTCAAAATTAGAGCACATTTCTCTATAACTTCCATAGTGCCAAAAAAAATTGTGCCCGTCGGTCTTTTTAGCGGTGAAGGAGAGCCCGCAACATCAATTAAGTCAAGTTTAAAAGATGATCGCCAAAAACAATTATGAAAAATTTGAAAATTTGGCTAGAGTTTAAATTTGCTATCGTTTAACAAGGCTACTCACTTCGAAAAACTCCAGTATGATATGTCTGTTATATTGGGAGATACGATTTGAGGTATTTCGAAGGCAATTTCGTCTTTCTGCAAAGACACTGGTTGAGAGTTCGTCTCCATCTGGTATTCTGATGCCTGTCACAACAATCAATCATTTGTTAAGCTAAGAAGTTAAATGCATCGAATTTACTACAAAAATTGATAAAAAACTGCTGAATGAAGAGCATCGGTCATGATAAGAAGAAACAATTTGGTTTTTGCAGCCCTGTGGTATTATGGCGATAAGAATTCTTACCGAGCGCTTTCCCAACCATTCTATCAGATTACGCACTGAAAATGTAGCCCAATCTCCCCCGTAGAAGTTGTTTCTAGCAAAAATAAGCAACTCTTTAAACGTGATTTTGACGAAACAAGAAGCCGCATTTGAAATATTGATTTTGTAAAAAAAATCAGTCGCAGTCATATTTCGTAAAAAATAAGCCATCTGTTTGTTTCAGTAGTAACTCCAAATTAGTTCGAAAAAAACTTCACTTGCTTACCGATCCAATACAACAACTGATTTGCCAATTCTTGAGCACGCAGCACCAACAATACTTTCGACAAGCCCTACAAGAAAATAGATTAATATCAACAACTAATCAATTGTGCGTAGCGAATTGTCGATTTATAATAAAGCCAGTAGATGTTTGGAAAACATCAACTAATTAATTGCGCGTATGAATTGTCAATTCCTAATAGAGCCAGTAAATGTTTTTTTTTTATATTCTACTACGAAAACATAGTTCTACGTAAGCAAAAACTTCGAGGCTCTTCGAAGATTTCAAAGAAAAAATTAAGCCAAAGATTTATAAAAACTGTTTGTCATGAAAAACAATTTATATTCACCTGTTCCTAGAATGAGGACTTCGCAGTTGGAAGGAAAATCCTCCATTCCGTCCAAGAACAACTGAAATGGACACAAAGAAGGCTAGTTGAGTATTACGACCCATTGTAAAATTAAAATAAAACTGTTTTATTTTTACAATTTTCTGTACGGGAGCATGAGCAGCCGAAGTTGTTTTTTAATCTCAAAAATTTTTATGATATAGCTGAATTTTAAAAAATATTTGTACGGCCATGAAGCAGGAAATCTGCATTTAATAATCGATAGTGAGCAGACAAACTTTACTACATCCAAATCCGTACGCAACAAGGATAGGCGGTTAGTTTGCAAGTAGCACAGAATGTTTCGACCATAGTATTAAACCCAGAGGTCAAGCAGAGCGTCCCACAACTTGCGATACAAAAATGAACAACTATAATTAAAATCAAACGGAACAACTAAATTGAAAAAAAAACTTCAAACAACGGTTTGTTATTAAAAATTGCAACAAAAGTCCAAAATATCCGAAAAAAAACTACTTGCAGATTGAAAACTATACAAGGAGCTTTCGGAATGGTAGATAGAAGCCGAGTGTTCAAAAAAGTCCTGTCAGCGGAATTAAGCCGACAAAAATGAGCACACTGACAATAATCTAAATTAGCCGAAACTTTTCAGATTGCTAAAGAGGTCTCGACTGGGATCGAACTACCGGGCTTTGCGGTCTCAAGCATGTGGTTCACAGCAACTTGGAAGAAAGCTGAACCGGCAAAAATAAACAGATGGATGATAGTCAGTAAAAGCACAAAATAAGAATTTTTTAAAATTGTTAATTCAAACGTTTTCGCACATTTTGTGCATCGTCAGGATATAAAATTTTTTATTTACAATAAAATGATCAAAGATCATGTATGAAATTCAAAAAGAACATGTTAGAATTTTTTAACCAATCACATTCTTACATCTGTTATTACGTAATCATTATTTCATCGATTATGACAATTTGCATACTTTTTTGTTACTTGAGTCATAATTTTTCGATTTGATGTTTTAGCCAAACTGACATGTCAGTTTATTTTTTCAAAAATTGCAATTTTTAGTCATGTTTAAACATGTACTATAATTTTAATGTCAGCTCCCTGCTCCTGAACTCCTCGCGCGTGTTAATTCTGGGGCGTTCTTTCCAAATATGTAAGGCCTCCAGAGTGAGGAGTTTCTGTATGTTACTTGATTGATCTATAATCTCAGACTTAAGCTCAGCGCTCTTACCATCCGTCACATTCTCTCAAATGTTGCCCTTCTGGCGAATCTTCCTTGTGATGCTCTTCAATCCGCGTGGTCAAATGCCGGACCGTTTGTCCAACATAGGTGGAATTACATCCACTACATGTGGGCTTGTAGACCACTCTGGATTTCAAATCTTTCGCAAAGGGAGATTTAAGGGACGGTAGGCAAGTCTTGAGCTTTCTCGCAGTAAATATCACTTGGGCTCCGGCGTTTTGACGCAGTTTGGCAGCAAACCACTCCGATGCATTACCCCGGTATTGTAATGTTATAATGGGTGCACTGACCTTTAAAGGATCTTCCTTGACTGATGTTACCGTTGTTCGTGTGTCAGTTTTTCGGTCGATGATCTTATTCAACGTTCTTAATACGACACCATCTGACCATTTTTCAGGGTATTGATTATCCACCCATTGTTCTTTATTAATCTTCATTGCCTTGTCAAAGTTTTCCCATGTTGATGTACTTCTAAAAATCCGATGAACAGTACCCTCAACTACATTGCGTTTATATTGCAATGGAGCGCAGCTTCTGAAGTTAAGGATAGTCCCAGTATCCGTTGGTTTTTGATACCATCCACATGTTACCTTTTTTCGTGAGTCCACATTAATGTTCAAATCTAGAAAGGCTAAGTCTCCGTTCGAATCCGGATTTTCGATAGTGAATTGTAAGTTGGGGTGGAGCTCATTAGCTGCTTTTATCTGGATCCCTCTTTACCGTCCTCACTATATCATCTACATATCTTAGGAACGCTTTGACATTTTCTGTTGGTTTTTCTTGATCTCGCTGCTCTTTACATCTCTTACAATACCAAACCATTTCTGAGATTTGCTCATATTCTTTGTCTGATACATTACTACACTTTAAATGGTACCAATTTAAACAAGCTTCGCATTCGATCCCCTTACTTCTGTATGTTACCCTCCGCTCGCAATCAGGGCATAGGCCATTCCGGTTTTCATTTAGCTGTGTCAACGCAGGTACTTCCTTCATTAATGCATATTCGTACTCCTTTAGCCATAAATTGGCAAGAATGACAGCAAGGGATGCATCCATTGCCAGCCCATCCTTTTGTACGTACCATAAACCATTGCATTTGAAGTGCACCTTACTTACAGCCATGTTCAACAATTTCTTCATAGTTTAGGAGGACTAGTTTGTTCGTACAGTTTCCTCAGTGCTATATCTATTGCCTCCTTTAGTGGGACATTAGTGTACAAACTTTTGACATCCCGGGAGATAATACTCTCATTATAGTCTAGATCTATGTTCTCTATGATCTCCCGAGCCATTTGTGTGTTTGTCTCAATGTTTGCCCCCTCAATGTTGTCAAAAAATTTGGCCAAAGTTTTATTTAGATGTTCATATGAGCTCCCTGGCACTGACAGTACGGGACGGAGAGGGGTTCCTTTCTTATGTACTTTAGCCAATCCATATAATCGAGCTGGCTGCCCTCCCGTGGACCTAAGCCTACTATACAGTGCCTCATCGATCTCATCTTTCTTTTTCATGGCCAACAGTTCTTTGTTGATGTCTTTCTCAATTTTCATAACAACACTATCAGTTAAACCTGGTTTTTTGCTAAATTGTTCCGATTGCAGCAGCTCAGTTAGTTTAGCCTCATATGTCGTTTTCTTCATTACACAGAAGCCAACACCTTTATCGAATGGGACTGCCAAGAGACCATTGTCCTTCAAATACTTCCTGGCTTTCTCAATACCTCTATCCGACGGTGTTTGCCGCACACGTTTAGCGTATGATTTTGCAGCAGCTTCAATTTCACATAATTTTTCACCTGGTACCTTTTGCGATTTAAGCTCAGATAAAAAATTATCAATGTCCGCAAGAAAGTGAAGTTCATTGAAACGATCCCTCACCGGTTGCTTTGGGCCAAAACCTAACACTTCATGAACCCACTTGGGTAGCTCAATGCCATCTAGTGCTCTGACCGATTTGTCATTCACTTTCATTAACGGTCTGTCCTGCCGCTCTGCTAGCTTTTTTAACTTCTTGTCATGTCTATCCTTGATGTCATGGATAGCAATTCTAGCCTGGAGCTTTAGATAAAATGCTATTGAGGGCCACCATTGTTCATCTATCCCTCTCCGCACTACCTCTCTTGCCTTAGCTAGATCATCGTCTATCTTCTTCTCTTCTGACCTTGCCTGATTTATCTCTGTTCTTAGGAGTTTTAATTGAAAACTATGCACCGCTTGGTCCGAAAAAACCCCATTTTCTGGCACCCGAAATCTCAAAAAATCTGGTATTATGTCATTGCTTTGACATTTCCGTAAAAACTTCAAGCGATGGAAATTGCTGTTTAATTTATTTGAATACTTCAGGTAAATCAAAACTAATTTCCAAGTTTGTTTTTTCCTGAGTATCCATCTCAGCATCGGTGGGGGCAAAACTACGGCGGTCATTATTCTGCAAGCCACGAGCACTTAAACTCATGCGGCTCTCAGCAGGATAATTCACACAGTAGATTCACTTACCCAATCCGCGCCCTTTCAGCCGATGGTAGAGAGACGTCAGTCGTTGTTTCCTCTCTGCGTGCCTTCGCCTTGCGTCGTCCTTGTGATGGTTTCTGAGTCCGCGCTCTTATCTTTGAGAATATCCCGGGCAAGTTCTCTCTATGTGTCAGCACAACTCGCAATGACTTCAACTCAAGTTCGCTCGATTGATGAACTTCCAGGTATTGTCTCACCAAAGCGGGATCCTGCCTCTTGCCTCTCGAGATCAATTTCGTTGTTGGGACTATCAAGATCCCTGTACGCATCAGAGAATCAAAGATATCTGTCGTTCTGGTTCTTCTGCAATATATAATCGCCTTAAACCGATGTCGCTTTGATTGCAAATACGAAATTAAATCGTCCAGAGGATAAAGCGTGTTGGCATTGGTTCGGTGTTTCGACAAACTGTTATTCAATACGTCGTGCCAAAGAATTATCTCCTTGTCCACCAGAGGATGCTCTTCCAGAAGAGTCTGTAAATTTTGTCTCTTCCTCACGGTATGAGGATTCAGCGATAATCCCGATTCAGCGTATACCAGTTCGTCCAGTTCCGCTTTCTCTGCTGGTCGTAAGGTATTCAAGCTATGAAATAGAGAGCTTGCAGCTACAACCCATGCCATTTTAACTCAAATGTAAGAAAACTCATTGTTAAGATGAGAAAAGAAAAAATAAAAATTAAGACTATTCTGAGAAAAATAAAAATGATCTAAAAATATTTTGTTTGTATTTTTACAACAAACTTTTTAATCTATCATTCACTCTTCGCCGAGGTTATTTTTTTTTCTTCAAAATTTAACAAAAAGTAGAATAAAAATTTTTTAAAATTGTTAATTCAAACGTTTTCGCACATTTTGTGCATCGTCAGGATATAAAATTTTTTATTTACAATAAAATGATCAAAGATCATGTATGAAATTCAAAAAGAACATGTTAGAAATTTTTAACCAATCACATTCTTACATCTATTATTAGGTAATCATTATTTCATCGATTATGACAATTTCCATACTTTTTTGTTACTTGAGTCATAATTTTTCGATTTGATAATTTTATCCAAACTGACATGTCAGTTTATTTTTTCAAAAATTGCAATTTTTAGTCATGTTTAAACATGTACTATAATTTTAATGTCACAAAGACTCTAGTTAAAAACAAAAAAGATCCCGACCGGATTCGAAACACAAACATTTTGTCGTCTCAAGCAATTCGGTTACTTCAATGCCAGATTCTGCGGATGGTTGATTGAATATGAATTTAAAATTACCAACCGGTAACAAAGCCGAACATATCGG